AAAATATTATTAAACAATTCAATAATAAAACCTGTGAACCTGCCCGACTCCGCAAAATAATTAATAAAATATATTTCATTTTCTTGGCGCCGAATATTATCAATACTATTACAAATAATATTACGAATGATATAAATTTTTACAAATAAAATTAGTAAAAGTTTGTATTATTTGTAACATTATTATACAATTACAAATAAAATTACAAATAATAATATTACAAATAATATATATTACAAATAATATTATTAATAATAAAATATTATTTGTAATAATTTCGGTGCGCCGAGTAGACAAAACTTTTCAGTATTGTCATAGAGAGGAAAAGAGAGAGAGACAGTCGCGCCCGCGATTCAGTTTATGGGCAAGAAAGAATTAGGCTCGCTCGCTGAGCGAGAACGAGAGCGACAAGGAGGGAATGATATTCTCTCTCTCTCTCTCTCTCTCTCTCGCTCGCTCGGCGCGTCGACGATTGACGATCGCGTGGCTCACACGGATTGACCGAGCTGGCTGTGTGCGTATATGAGAGGGGGGGAGAATCCTCCTGCAAGCCCATCACCAAATTCGCATCACTGATACCAATGATGTCAAAACCGAACAAGCTGCGGACAAGCGTAACTTGTAAATACCGGAGATCAATTGTTTATCAGCTCATAGACAATTAATATGACGAGATACCCGCGGAGACCCGTGTACTTCTCTTTCATCTTTGCGTACAATTGCGATCAATAAAAAATTTTCACGAATTGTTCGGTTTTGACATCATTGGTATACGTGTGTATCTGTGTGTGTATGTGTACATATACAATTGCGATATACACTTATCATGTTAGCACTGATCATTTTTATTCATGCTAAAAGAAATAAGTATAATTATGTAAAGAATTTGTCTGAGTATTATTATACATTCTACATAGTTCTCCCTGTGATAGTAAAAATAACACACTTGAACAACCTCTACTCTCATATCACAAAGCCTGATCCACTGCGCTACTGAAGCAAATTGGTAATTCTTCTGCTATAACGACACTAAAAGAAAAGACTAAACTTCGAACTGCATTTCTCAAAAACGTTTAAGATTTGCACCGTTATTGGGTAGCATTTGTTAGTATTACATCAATATTATACTTTTCTAAAAGCAAAATCGCACGGTGATTTCAAGGATGAAGATTCCTCTTGTGTGAGATATTAATTATTCATTCTTTATTAATGGGAAAATATTTTCCTTTGGTTTAAATGTTCAAGAAAAACTATTTGTCCTCTGAGAATCTTTCAATTTTTATGTTCGTGAAAAGTTTGTAAAATTCGTAGAGAAAAAAAATTATTTTACTACCTACCTGTTCAAGAGTTGCGCATAAGAGATATTTTAACAAATCTGAATCTGAATCAGTCAACAAATTAAATTTTTCATTCAAAGAAGCATATGTAGGGTAAGCATAAGTAAGATAAGTATAAATAATAAATTAAATATTATTCTCTGAATATATTAATAAATAAATGTTTTTTTCTTTAGCTGAATCATCGAAGTAAATATTCTATTATAAATTGACTTTTCGGATTACAATATTAATTTGATTTTTCAGAGTACGCTTTCAAATTGACTCTTCGGAATACGCTATTAAATTGACTTTTCGGAGTACACTTTTAAATTGACTCTTCTGACTACACATTTTTTAGTTGACTCTGTGGAGTACATATTTTTTAATTAACTCTTCGGACAGAAGAGAAAAGAAACATTTTATATTTTATTTAAAGAATCGTAATTTTTGCAGAAAACTGATTGATGAAGAAAAAGATTAATTCACGACCTCAACGAAGATCTTAAAAAAATTACTGCAAGAAATGAAGTTGTTGTTATTATATACCATATTGTACAATATTAAAACATACGCGCAATAATTATCTATAATTTACATATATGGGCGTTTATGTAATTATAAGTAACATAAAAGTCATGACAAATTAATGTGGCCGCGTGTTATCTCTGTCGCGTCATTGCTAGAAATCGTCCGAACTCTCGAAATTATTTTCTTCCCGAATTATGAATATAAAACAGTGTGGAAAGGAAAACAAGAGGGTGAAAGGGGGGGACGGCGACGTCTGCCTTAAGGCTCGTCTACAATAACTGTAAGAGTAACTGTAAGGCTGTAACGTAAGCTGTCAGCGAATGAAAATATTTCATTTCGTGCCTTGCAACCTTACAGCCTTACTCTTACAGCTAATGTAGACGAGCCTTTACGATAACATCGCTGCTGGCTCGCTTCGTCGCGATTGTCTATTCGCTGGTGGTGAGACAAAGACCGATTCTTCGTTTTCATCTAACTAATCTAGCTCGCTCGTGAACATAGCACAGAACAGAACCAAATAATTATGGACATAGCACGGAATAGTACCGACAAATCGTGGACATTGGCTTAGTAGTTCATGTCCATGAAAAATGGACCCAGTTGGCGCTGCGAATCAGCCAACTTTTCCATAACGCTGTAAATGCAGCCATCCCCGCTCTCAGGCTTCTCTCTGATATGAGTCTTAGAAAAAATGCGAAGTACTGGGTTTTTATGATTCTTTCCTGGCTATCTGACGGTGACCTTGGATTTGACCTCGACAATGATCTTGAAAGTCATTTCAAGGTCAGGTCAATTTTTTTAAATGGCACCCTATACTTTTGACCCCAGAAATGAAAAGAGCGGAAAATTTTACGTTAGGATATGACCTTGAACACTGCCAAATTTGGCCTCTGAATGTCACATAAAGGTCTAAGCTTATTTCAGGCTGAAAACGCGAATATCTTCGAAAATGCACCTGCCAGGGAGCAATGTTACGCATATGAATAAGAATGTAGAGGTCAACGAGGGACATTCAGCCGTAACCTTGCCCTTATTCTCAAGGTCATGAGTTAAGATTATTATTAAGGTCAAACCAGACTTTTTTAGGACTGAAAATCCATAATTTTGACCTAAAAGTGTCAAGATTGAAAAATTTTACGTTCAGATATGACGTTTTCAACCTTGACCTTGTTCTCAAAATTATGCGTTTTACGTTACTTCACTGATCGTGAAGTCTACTGAAAGTAAAGCGTCCAACCACTGAATCCAACCACTGAAGGCAAGGTGTCTCAAACCCGACCATTGAAGGCAAGGTGTCTCAAACCCGGCCACTTAAGGCAAGGTGTCTCAAACCCGACCACTGAAGGCAAGGTGTCTCAAACCCGACCACTGAAGGCAAGGTTCAGTTAGTCCCGGCCACCGAAGGCAAAGCATCTTGTAACTCGGCCTGATATTACAAGAGATGTTCAAAATGTTCCCCATTGACCGTTTGACAGTGTGTTTGACAAGTCAAGGTTGAAAACGTCATATCCGAACGTAAAATTTTTCAATCTTGACACTTTTAGGTCAAAAGTATGGATTTTCAATCCTAAAAAAGTCCGGTTTGTCCTTTATAATAATCTTAACCCATGACCTTAAGAATAAGGGCAAGGTCACGGCTGAATGTCCCTCGTTGACCTCTAAATTTTTATTCTTATGCGTAACATTGCTCCTTAGCAGGTGCATTTTAGAAGATATTCGCGTTTTCAGCCTGAAACAAGCTTAGACCTTTATGTGACATTCAGAGGCCAAATTTGGCAGTGTTCAAGGTCATATCCTAACGTAAAATTTTCCGCTCTTTTCATTTCTGGGGTCAAAAGTATAGGGTGCCATTTAAAAAAATTGACCTGACCTTGAAATTACCTTCAAGGTCATTGTCAAGGTCAAATCCAAAGTCACCATCAGATAGCCAGGAAAGAATCATAAAAACCCAGTACTTCGTATTTTTTCTAGGACTCATATATTTCGAGTTATTCTGCTCTTCCGGGACTTTTATAACACCCTGTATAATAAACATTGTCCCTTAAGATGCACAGACAATCTTTATTTTTACCACCCTCTAATTACAATAACAAAAGACCCTTTGAATAAAGCAATAATTAAAATATATTTTTGTAATATTTTTTATAAAATATATAAGTTACAATATTAAAGCATTATATTAACATGATATAATCAAATAATAATACTTAAAATATCATTAATTATAATAATTATACAAAAAACATTAAAACATCACTTTTTGACATACTTTTCAGTTATTATCGATAATAGCTCCATCATGCATTCAAGATGCTTCTCAACGGGCACAGATTGTAGGGCAAAGGAGATAGCACTCATAATCGGATTAATATTACTGTTATTACTAATATTACTATTATTATCAGATACACTAGTGTTGCTAGGATTTAACAGGCCCTCGCTGAGTTTCGCTGTCATAGAAGACAGAGCACTTGTTTGAATTAGAATTGCTTGAGTCAAGGCATCATCATCCTTTTTCTTCTTTGCAGCAAAATTATCAGGCGGGGGAAAAATGCGTTTTCCCTCCGATCTAGCTTCTTTTATTTCCTTTAAAATAGACTTAGATCTCTGAGCCGAGCTCAGAGTTAAGAACATTGACTCTCCCTTTGCTGTAGCTGCAAATAACCGTCCATTTGAGCTTCGACTATCAGACGTATCAGATTCAACATCTTCTGTGGAAACAATCATACATGATTAACAATTGATGTTAATTTCACTTCACAGTATTATGAAAAAATTGTCTGTACATACTTTCAACAAACAAATCATTATCACTACTCCACTCACTAGACGATGACAACTCTGGAGTTTGAAGTGACGCAGATGACCTGATGAATACAGGTGACGACGGTAACGGAGAGAACCGGATAGATATAGGTGAGGATTTGTCAGCTTCAGATTTGAGCTTCACAGCTGCAGCGTTCTGAGTTTTCGGCAAAACATTTGTATTGTAACTACTTGATGTTCTGGAAAACAGATCGAAATATATAACTCAGTTTTGTGAACATATACCTGTACCTCACTGACGCGCGTCGTTAAAAATGAATGACAAGTATCGGTCGTAAACGATAATCCTACCGAGGGGTCCCTTGGCCATCGGTAGTGCTTGACCGACGCATACGGACGAGATTATCGTCGGTTTATGTGATTATGTTAGTGAATTCGCGATTTGAGGTAGTGATACTGCACACATTGCGACTTCACTTATTTATAAAATTTTTGTTTAGTTTATTACGTTTCTGTTGGTATAAAATATAATAGTGTGTATGTGCTGTAAATTGTAACCCAAAAATGTGCAAGCAAGTAAATTTAATTAAATTCTCATAAAATTTAGTCAGTGGAGTTAACTTTCAATTCGTACTGCGGTCTTTACACGGCATCAGGAAATAAAAAATAGTATTAGAATAGTATATAATATGTACAAAACCTTATCCTTTTACCCTAAGTAATGAATGTACAATCTATTATTGTTCATGACTTAGGTTAAAAATATATCTTAAAATACATTAAGGACGAAAATAGCTCTACGAACGGTTAACAAGTGATATTAATTAGAGTTTTTCTTTCGCATTTTTTGCGTAATTCTTTTAACTCATTTACACGTCGAAAAGAATAAATTTGTCTATACTTATAGGGTAACGGTCAATTACTGCCAGTGTCCCAATTACTGCCATTTTCTTTAATTGTAGTATTACAATAAAAAATATGAGCATTATACCCAGTAAACACAATGTTACATGTAACATTGTAACTGGATAGTTACACTAATATATCTTAGTAGATTTAATGGGATATATTTAAAATATTTTAATATTAAACCAAGATTTTAAATATATAATGCTATCATATTTTTTATTTTAATACTATAATTAAAGAGAATGGTAGTAATTAGGACACTGGCAGTAATTGGGACCGTTACTCTAGTGTTTTATTTATATCGTCGGCAAAATTAGAAAACCTCCTAACTCCAATTTTTTATGAAATTGAAATATTCCCAGCAAACACAATGTTACATGTAACGTACATATTAGTTGTAATTTCCTACTCAATAATATAACTGTTATATAACACATGTGTTATAACAGTTACATTGTTGAGTAGGAAATTACAACTAATATGTACGTTACATGCAACATTGTATTTGCTGGGTTCATTTCATCCAACTTATCTTATTAAGTTGAATGAAATGAAAATCTCAAATTCGTTAAAAATTGGAATTAGAAGGTTTTCTAATTTTGCCGACGATATGTTATATCCAATAATATAATAATATAATTGTTAAATCCAATAATATTTAATATGAATTTAGTATGGCTGAATACCTCATGTGGGATCTTTTACACCTTGAGAATCGCGTGAGAATGCTACAACGTCGAATAGAAAGAAGAGTCTGGCGTGATACTAATGATTCATTCGAGTTACACGATAACGTTTTCATTAATTTATTTCGCTTGCCACCTGACACTGTGTTGGAATTAGCAGAGATCTTAAGACCAAGGTTACAACGATTACGGCCATATGGAATTTCAGTACAGCAGTATATTCAAGTATATGCACATATATTTTATGTGTGTGATTTAATATGAAATTATTACTATTATTTCTATATGTTCAACAAATATTGTTTAATAGGTATTAACAGCTTTAAGATTTTATGCTGTTGGCTGCTACCAAGGTGCCATTGGGGAACAATGGAATCTGGCTGTCAGTCAATCGACTGTAAGCCGTTGTGTAGCAGCCGTGACAAATGGAATAAACGACCTATTACTATGACCATGGGTAAAATTTCCTATTACAGCGGAGGATCGACAAGCTGCAAGAGAAAAGTTCCGCACAGCACAACATCCGTTTATAGGTGCTATCGGTGCAATAGATTGCACTTAGGTATCGATTCTGGCACCGCAACTTCACGAAGAAACCTACGTCAATCACTGGGGTGATCACTGTCTCAATGTTCAAGCGGTATATATAAATAAATAGTATAAATGTTAAAATTGGGATAACAATAATTTTAATTTTATGTATATATGATATTTTTTTACAGATTTGTGACCCTGATTTAAAAATTCTAAACATTAATGCTCGATATCCTGGGGCACGACATGATACATATATTTGGGCAAATTGTGCTGCTCGTCGTGTCATGGAACGATGGTATATGCAAGGAGAACGCAAGGCTTATCGGTAATACTATTATTTTTCTCTTATTAAATACTAGGTAAAATATTTCTTTAAAAGTTTATAAAATGTAAAATGGTTGTAAATAATTATTTAAAACAACTGCTTATTAAATATATTCATCATATTGAAAATGTAAAATAAATAAACTGAATCTAAAGTAAAGTAAAATCGAAGTGTTATTTTCACAGGTGATGATGGGTATGGACTGGAGCCGTGGTTAATGACTCCATTGAAATACGAGCAGCCAGGAACTCCATGTTTTAATTATAATGAAGAATTATGCAGTACCCGCTCTTGTATAGAACGCCTGTTTGGAGTTTTGAAGAGCGAATTTAGATGCCTTTCAGCGCAAAGGCAACTAATGTACGAACCAGGATTAGCTGGAAGAATTGTTAACGCTTGTGCGGTTTTGCACAATATGCGTATCCACCATCGAATATATGATATAGACGTCGACCCAGCAGAGGTGGAAGCCCATCGTGTAGCTAATATGCCTAATCCTGCAGTAGAAATATCAGGTGTAGTAAAAAGAAATCCATTATTTTTGCATGAAATTGAAGGCTTTAATTACCATAGTTAGAATGATCCGATTTGGGTCAAATATGCGCCGTTTTGTTCGATAACTTGTTGCCATTTTGAAGGTAATTTCATTATGCCTCTCTCATAGAAGCCCTCGTCCCTATTGGCAAAAAATTGAGACAGTCGATTTTCACAAGCCTCTCTTGAAGCGAATTTTTCACCAGCAAAATTGTTCGCCATGGACAGGAACAGATGGTAATCACTTGGTGCCAAGTTCGAACTATAAGGTGAATGCATAAGAACCTCCCAACCAAGCTCCCGGAGCTTCTGGCGAGTCACTATCGATGTGTGTGGCCTGGCGTTGTCCTGATGGAACACAATGATAGATCATGGCGAGTTTCTGCAAGGTCGTGCACTTGTCACACGTATCCAAGACAGTTTTATCGCTCAACAATACGGTAGACTATAAGATTTTGTAATGAAAAATTACAAATTATTATCAATATAAACTTTTTGTATTACTTAATATTTATATTGTAACCTTTTATATTACCTTGTAAATAAATTATTTTCTTAATCACGTTTAAAAATAATTACATAAGATAATGACATGTGTGTGTGTGCGCGCGTGTGCACGTGCATGCGTGCGTGCTTACGTATGTAAGCATAGTGCGTACAATAAAATAAAATAAACAAATTGAATTAAAATACCGTAAAAACTGATAGACCCTCTTATTTTTCACAAAAATATTTTATATATTCAGATATATTCTTTAATAACTGCAGAGATATTTCTTCTGACCTCGCTCTTCTCTCTTCGATTGCGACTCTTCTCTCTTCTACCGTCGCAAGTCGTTCAATAGATTCATCTATCATCTATAATATTAATGTACTATTAATAAATAATTAATATTATCTACATACCCAGATAGCACAAAATCTTCAGAGAATATTCTTAGAACGTTTTTAGGATGTATGAATGTGCTTAGAACGTTCTTAGAACGTCCTTTGAAGATTTGTACTAGGTATCCAGGTAATATGTAAATAAGTGTAAATAAAGTATCTTGACAAAAATATGGACAATATAAAATATTCTTAAACAGGAAACATTTAGCTTTACAATTTGCATAGTTTTTATCAACGAAATTAGTTTTTATATTTTTATAATTAAAACCAAAAAATGTTCTTCATCATTTTACTGAAACCTCGTTAATAATACATTGTATTTATCTATAATCATTAATATCCCACTTCATTATTCTCTTTTTATTCGGTTTTTAATTTCAGTTATTGTGTTCTATTGTTATTCATAATTGGGCATATCATTCATAATATTCTTGAAAAAGGGTTCACAAATTAAAGATAATTGAATTCTCTTAATTACAATAAATAATACTCGATTTTTAAGTAACAGCTACAAGTAATTTCACATTCTTTAAACATCTCACTTATATGAATATGAATATAATAAAATTTTGTATATATTTTTCTATATAGTTTTCTTTAATATCTAAAAATATAAAAATAATTAAGTAAACAAGTTATTTATAGGATTTCTTTTTACCTTCAATGCAGAGGCGTTACTTTGTGCTATGTTGGTGAATTGTTCACGCGCGTTTTCAAGCTGCACACTGATACGTTGTCTGTTTTTTCCTATATAAAAGATTATATCACAAATAACGTTGTACATTAATTTAATTTCGTTCATGTATGAGTCTTACGATTGCTCGAAGCAGCGTCAGTTGTAGGGCATGTGATAGTGGATTTCCGCACACCGAGCTCTGCTGTTCTTTTTTTAGGATTTGGCTTCCTTTTTGTAGAAACTGGCAAACTTCTTCTTGTTTCGGAATCAGCTTCAACTGCTACTGCAGCTGCAACAGTTGTGACTGCATCTGGATAATCCAGTACGGCTTCTTCGACATCTTGTAATGTCAAGTGCTCCTCTGTTTTTATTTAAAAATAAAAATACATAATTATACATACATAATTATACATAATTACATAATTATACATAATTATATACATAATTATAATTTATATGCTGATAGAAATCTAACTAAATATCTCTTTAAAAATATATAATGTCTCCACTTTATTAATTTTAATTGATATTATCATCAACAATGCTAGGAAATTCCTCTTTCAATCTTTCCTCGTTTGCGAAGATAGTATCTCGCAAAGTTAACGTCTGTGAAATTTGATAAAGAGGATCTTCGTCATCCATCTCAAGTCATTCAATATTTTCCTACAACAAACAATTATTATAACGTAAATTGTTTCTTTATGTACGTATTATAATTATTTTAAATGGTTAAAGAGATACATTGAACATATATACGTACATCTTCTTCCACGCAACTATTAGGACAATGCGCATTTCCCTCAACATAATCTAAACCAATTGCAGACACTACGCGTTGTTCAATGTTCTGCAATGGGGCTTCTTCAGCTGGAAAATTGCCTGTGCGTAAGCGCTCAGCTCTTAACTTGCTTGCTTTCCTCGAAGAAACACTCTTCAGATCCCGCCATACCTAAATATATTAAATATAATAATGTAATATGCAAATCCCAATCAAATGTATCCCAGTCAACTAGTCATATAACAGAAAAGCAATTATATAACATTGATATTAGAATGTCAGCTGAATAAGGGAGAACATTACATAAAATTTATTTAACATGTATCAAGATACTGGGGTTTACTACGAAATGTATACATGTCCGGAAATCAAGATGGGAAAGTAATTAAAAAAATCTCAATTATTTATATATAGCTTATCGCATTTGCATCATATCTGTTTGCTCTTGGTAAAAATGTCTGGAACAAATATTGTGTAAATAGCTTAAAATATATCTTACAGTTTGCTACTGCTTGATCGACTTCTTTGGCCCGGGTAGAGAATTTAGCCTTTTACACAGTTCATCCCACTGCATCTGCAGTTGCAGTTTCCCCTCATTTCCGTTAAACCAGTCGACAGTGAAACGGCTATGCTTTTCCATATAGGATACCAAATCTTCAATTTGCAATGTTGATGCACGCGAAGAACGTTGCTTTTTAACAGTACTACAAAAAATATTACTGTTTATTGATAGTACAATTCTCTTATTAAGTTATCGAATAGTATTTATTAGTATATCCACACAACACAGATGTTTAGGGGATGTCGTAAGGAGATTCTAAGAATGTCCCTATATCCTACATACGTCCTTTGGATATTTTGTGCTATGTAGGTAAATATTACATTATGTGTGTATATATATATATATATATAAAATAATGTAATATTTACCCACACAGCATATATATATATATATATATATGAATAGCATTAAAAATATATATACATACCTACTTCTACTCTCTGACATGATGCTTTCTCTTGTATCTTCTCTATTTTTCTACACAACTCTATGAATACGGTTATGTTTGTAAAACTTGAAAATCGCGGACTTTCTCATAGACTCGTTACGTGATTGGTCGAATTACGATATATTCTCACTTTTGTCCGTGACTGTCTCTCGACCATTTGTGACGTCAACCGACGATTGAAATTCGTCGGTTGCACCGATGATTGTCGGTAGTGTCCATGTAGAGAATAGGTGTGCATCGTTCTTGTCGGTCACGCAACCGACGTTCGTCGGTAACGACCGATACCGACAATTGTCGGTAGACATGTACAAAATAGCGCTCCTGTGCTGCGATTCTGTAACTCGTTATTGGAGTTAACGACGATTTCGTTATTGTTGCGCAGCTTTTCTACGGTATACAAAAGCTGCGCAACGATAACGAAAGTGTCGTTAACTCCAATAACGAGTTACAGAATCGCGGTACTGGTCCAGCAAATTAGCTGCTGGTCTCGCAAAATCTATTACTTATTTATTACTATACTTATTATACTTATCTATTATTATTTGGACAGCAAAAAGATGCTAAGTGTACTAATCACTATTTGCTGGATATAATTTGTTGAATCTGCGAATTATTTTGCTGTAAAAACAAATTAGTTTTTCTCCAGTTAACAAATTCGTTTGCTGCATTAACAAAGCAATTTTGCTAGCCCCTGAGGAAAAAAATAGTTGAACTGGAACTTGAACCTGAAATCTCTTAAGCTATTGGCTTTTGAGTTATTCGTCTTTCGTACTGTGCCACTGCTATCGACTGATGGAAAGGACCTTTTCAGTCATATGATGGTCATGGTTGTCATGATTGTCATTTGTAGCAGCAGTGGTAATTTTGCTGGGATAGCAAATATATTTGCTAAAAATATCAAATAACAAATTAACGTGATTCTAAGGACAAATACATTCAGCAAATTGTTTTTGTTCTCGCAACAAAACAGATTCTGCTCTAATGACGAATAATTGGTAAAATTAGTTGCGTCAACTAAGTTTTCTAGTTGTCACTACGAATATGTAGTAGCAATGACGACTTTGCTGTTACAGAAAATTTATTTTTCTCCGTGCAGAAAGGGAGAGAGAGAGAGATATTCGTTAAAAAAAGCGCTAACGTTGCAAATTTCGCCAAGTCGCGCTTGTGGCGTTTACATTAATTGCTTATTTCTCGGTAACTGCTAATAATATCATAAAAAAACACTATCTTCTCCACAGTCCCTTCTGTCCGAATTAGTGGTTCATATTGATATAACTTGTACAAGTTCGTCAAAATAAGCGCCAACGTTGCAAATTTCGTCAAGTCGCTCTCGTGTTAATTAATATCAATAACGCTTATTTTAACGAAGCTGATCTAATCGTATCAATATAAACTGCTAATTACAACAGAGAGGATTGTGGAGAAGATAGTGTTTTTGGAATGACGATATAATTAGCAGTTCCCAACAATTAGGAAATTTATAGACGACGCGTGTGCAACCGCCGAAGATATCTACATCATTAGAAAAGCATTATCTTCTCCATAATCTGTTCTGTTTGAATTATTTGTTTATATTGATACGATTGGCACAGTTTTATTAATTAAGGCGTGAAAATGCGCATTAACTTCACGACGTACAGTGGATCGAAACATAACAAAGTACGGACATAATCAAATATCTCGAAAAATATTCAATTTCCGATAATTTTACCTAAATACTTTTATACGTAAAATGGGATAAGGAATCGAGTTATGTAAAAAATATAATTTATAAAAAAATAGACGTTGACCTTGAAATAACTTTGAAAGAATAATTTCTCTGTCGTAATAATATTATCACCTTATTTTATTTCTAAAATAGTACAATTTTTATTTCATCAATTTTTTGTAACGTCTGCTACTTACGAGTTATGGAGTTTTTATGTCTCATGTAAACCACTATGTATTTAGGGTGTCTGAAAAATGTTGGTCCATCCAATTTGTATAGGTAGAACAGGTGAAATTGAACAAAAAAGTCATATAAAATTTTTCAAGAATCGCAATAGTTACTAAGTTATTAATAATTGAAAATAGCCACATTTAAATGCTTTTTTAATTGATAACTTGAAAATTTGTATATTTATTTGCAAAATAGTAGAGGACTATTTTGTTCAGAATGACCTAATTTACTATTATATGACGGCAATGATGCCTAACGCTGGGAATGAATATATTGAACTTTTAACCCTGAAATTTAAATCCATCGCTAGGCATAATAGTCATCATATAATTGTAGATTAGGTAATTCTAAACAAAAGTCCTCTACTATTTTGCCAATAAAAACGCAAATTTTCAAGTTATCAATTAAAATAGCCTCTAAATGTTGCTCAAAACGGTTTTGGATTTCTTTTATTTATCTCTATGAATTTTACACCTCCATTGTCCATGGTCAGCGAATTACAAAATATCCTGTATATAATTGTTTATGCATACTTATTATGTATAATATACGATATAATGTATGATATGTATAATTATGCATACTTATGTATGAAATGTGTTCATACATAATTATGTATAATTATACATATAATTTAATTTTATATAATCATGCATAATTATGCATGCAAAAATTTTCAATGGATGCAAATTTTAATATATTCTTTTTATATTTATTGAATTATATTCATTTTTTAATATTTATTTAACTATATTCATTTTTTAATATGATTCAATTATATTCAATTATATTGATTCAATTATATTGATTCAATTATATTCATTTTTTAATATTGATTCAATTATATTCATTTCTTAATATTTATTTAATTATATTCATTTTTTAATATTGATTCAATTATATTCACTTTTTAAAATTTATTTAATTATATTCATTTTTTAATATTGATTCAATTATATTCACTTTTTAATATTTATTTAGTTATATTCATTTTTTAATATTTATTTCATAATATTCATTTTTTAATATTTATCGTTAGGAGTATCCAAAAAGTAACCCATTTTGCTTTTAAACTGGAAACTGTCTTTTTTATACATATCTACAGTGTACTTCTTCCCAAGCGTACTCTCTCTCTTTGGTTCAAACAATTAATTATTTACCAGCTATTGCGAATGTTACAAAATGATACATAACAATGTTTTGAGTTTTATCTTCATTTATCTTAATATTTAGGCTTTGTAAAAATTTTCCAGACATTCGATATATGTGTATCAATATGCATGTAATAATAACTTGTTGATTTTGTACGTTTCAGCCGGAACAACTGATATATTTATTACATTTCGCACAAGTGCGCGGTAGAGGAAGAGGGCGAGGAACAGACAGCAGGGGTGGCTGGGGTGGCAGAAGTGGCAGAGGTGGCAGAGATGACAAAGGTGGCAGAGGTGGAAGACGTGGAGGAGGAATTAATATTAATAATTATTACTGTCAAAATCCTCAACAATAAATATACCCTATATACAGGGTGTTATAAAAGTCCTGGAAGAGCAGAATAACTTGAAAAATATGAGTCCTAGAAAAAATGCGAAGTACTGGGTTTTTATGATTTTTTCCTGACTATCTGGCGGTGACCTTGGATTTGACCTTTTGCACAATTGGATTTGACAATGACCTTGAAGGTCATTTCAAGGTCAGGTCAATTTTTTTAAATGGCACCCCATACTTTTGCAGGGTTGGGAAAGTTACTTTTTAAAAGTAACTTGTTACCGTTATTTTCGGTAAAAAGTAACTCGTTATCGTTACTCGTTACTGATCTTAAAAAATAACGCGTTACCGTTACTTGAAAGTAACGATATTTTATTTCGTTACTTTCCGTTACTTTTTTTTGTTGTAAATCCAGGATTATAAGGAAGGTGCTAAGACAAGATATAAATCGGACATAAGACGATTAGAAATATATATATATATGTATATATATATTTAAATATTTTTATTATTTTATGTTATTAAGTATTGTACTTAAGGAAAAGTTTCTTAATTAGTGGATATGCATTTAATATTTGGACATTAGTGCTTGCTGACTTTAAAAATCTTTGCCATTCATCATAGGCAGATTTCTCATTTAATGTTTGCTATTTAAAATTAAAAATGTCATCGTTATTATTGTGCTTATCAGATATCAAAAAATTTTTAATTGAAGGAATTCCTTATAAATCTTCTAAATACGCAAGTTTTCACTTATCTTCAGCTAACCAAATCAATTTGGGATGCAAACAGCTGGCAATTATCAATTCTTCTTTTTCGAATGTAGTACAAAACCTAAAGTTGAATCAATAAAATTAAATACGAGGGCGGTCCGAAAAGTACTTAGCCTCACCGCCCGATGGCGCGCACTATCGCAAGAGAAATTTACTATCGTGTAGTACATTCTCGTAGACGGCTACTGTCGAAATTTCAGCCGAATCGGACTCGTAGTTTTGTTTTGACCGCGTATGGAAGCGAGCGTGTCCGCGGATTTTAGAAAAATGGAAAAAGAGCAATATCGGTCAGTGATTCGATTCTTGTTTTTGGAAGGGAAATCGCGCAGCGAAATCAAAGAGCGCTTGGATGCTGTGTACGGTGACTCTTCTCCTTCGATGGCGACCGTCAAAAATTGGTTTAACGAGTTTCAACGTGGTCGCACGTCGGTTTTTGATGAGCCACGCCCAGGTGCCCCGAAAACGGCTACCACGGAGGATAACATGACAAAAATCCACGATCTCGTATTGGCAGACCGCCGATTGAAGGTGCGCGAGATAGCTGAGACAGTAGGCATCTCAAAAGACCGCGTGGGTCATATCCTGTATGAAATTTTTGGCATGAGAAAGCTGTCGGCGCGATGGGTGCCGCGTTTGCTCACTCCGGACAACAAGCGCAACCGTGAGACCACTTCAGAGCAGTGTTTGACGCTGTTTAAGCGCAATCCGAAGGAGTTTCTGCGTCGTTTCGTGACCGTCGACGAAACATGAATCCACTGGTACACACCAGAGACCAAGGAACAGTCGAAACAGTGGACTTCACCCGGCGAACGTGCTCCGAAGAAGGCGAAGACTGTCCTATCGGCCGGAAAAGTGATGGCCACCGCTTTCTGGGACTCACAAGGTGTGATCTACATCGACTACCTGGAGAAAGGCAAAACGGTCACAGGGCTGTACTATGCCGAATTATTGGGCCGATTCGACGCCGAATTGCAGAAAAAACGGCCCCATTTGGCGAAAAAAAAGTGCTCTTCCACCATGACAACGCACCGGCTCACACCTCCGCCCTCGCCACGGTCAAATTGGTCGAATTGGGCTACGAACTGCTGCCCCATCCACCGTATTCTCCAGATTTGGCCCTGTGCGACTTTTTTTTGTTTCCAAACTTGAAAAAGTCACTCGCCGGGCAGAAATTTGAGTCGAATGAGGAGGTCATCGCCGCCACGGAGGCCTACTTTGCAGACCTCGAGAAAACGTATTTTTCAGACGGGTTAAAGAAGTTGGAGCATCGCTGGGTCAAGTGTATCGAGCTAAAAGGAGACTATGTTGAGAAATAAATCGCCACTTTTCCAAAATTTTCGTTTTTCTTTTGTAGGCTAAATACTTATCGGACCACCCTCGTATGAACATATTAGGCCTGTTCGTTTTGTCTGCACTGTTGAACTGGTGCAACAAGTTAAAGTGAGAAAACCTACGTTTGTTCTCACTTTAACTTAATGCACCAGTTCAGCAGTGCAGACAAAACGAACAGGCCTATAGATTTTTCTTTTTGAGCAGATGAATGTTGTTTGATGAACATATGTATTAACCAAATTACACCAACTTACCTTTCTTTTAAACCTTTCTGTATAGCTAAGGCCAATGGATGACAATATGTGAGTCCATCTTTATTGGTTCTCATTAAATTCAGCATAAAACAAAAAATGCATAGAAATTAAATACAATTAAGTTTAATTTTATAAAAATTAAAAAGTAACGATTAAAGTAACGGACGTTTTGTTACTTGTTACAAGAAATGTATCGCCGTTATTTTTTCGTTACTGACACCAAAAAGTAACGGCGTTACCTAATCGTTACTCAAAAAAGTAACGATATCAGTAATGGCGTTACAAGTAACGCGTTACTTCCCAACCCTGTACTTTTGACCCCAGAAATGAAAAGAGCGGGAAATTTTACGTTCGGATATGACTTTGAACACTGCCAAATTTGACTTCTGAAGGTCACATAAAGGTCTAAGCTCGTTTTAGGCTGAAAACGTGAATATCTTCGAAAATGCACCTGCTAGGGAGCAATGTTACGCATAAGAATAAGAATGTAGAGGTCAACGAGGGACATTCAGCCGTGACTTTGCCCTTATTCTCAAGGTCATGAGTTAAGATTATTATTAAGGTCAAACCGGACTTTTTTAGGACTGAAAATCTATATTTTTGACCTAAAAGTATCAAGATTGAAAAATTTTACGTTTGGATATGACGTTCTCAACCTTGACCTTGTTCTTAAGGTTATGTGTCAGTCATATCAAGGTCAATTAATTTCCTTAGGCTGGAAACACATACTTTTATCCCCCCCCCATAATGGATGCAGAGGACGGTATCAAACAGTCGCGAAAAAGTGCCTCAAGCAAAACGCGGCCGTGGCCGCTCTTAGGTTTCTCTCTGGTCATACCACGTATATTTCATTTCTCGCCTTTCGTTGTGAGTTACTGCGCAGGCGTGCTCCGCAGACGGAACAGGAACTCTCATCTTTCTCGAGTCGGGATGCGTCCCGAAAGTCATTAAAAAAAAAAGTGACAACCTTTATGTCCGCGACCGTATGTTGATATTATAAAGCCAGCGACACACGATGCTTGTTTTCGTGCTAGATTGCTTGCTGGATGAAAATACTGCGTTCTGATTGGTGCATTTTCATCCATCTTCGAAAATATACCAATCGCAACGCAGTATTTTCATCCAGCAAGCAATCCAGCACGAAAACAAGCATGTATCGCTGGCTTTAAAGCTAGCCCGCATGCGGTGCTGGCACGGTTGCGGTGACCATCAGGAAGGCGCGTGGTTGCGGAAGTCCATGCGTCTGTCTCTGATTGGTCACCGCAGTTTCCAGCTCCCATGCATAGTCTTAGCTTAAGCCGGCATACGTGCTTGTTTCGTGCTGAATTGCTTGCTGGATGAAAATACTGCCTTCTGATTGGTGCATTTCCATCCATCTTCGGAAATGTACCAATCAGAACGCAGTATTTTCATCCAGCAAGCAATCCGGCACGAAAACAAGCACCGTGTGCCGCTGGCTTAAGATAGACGTCCGATGGAAAATGGCATGTGGACATTGTTTCAAAACAGTCCGGAACCAAAAATAGAACCAACCAACCAACCAACCAAGATAGACGTCCGACGGCTACTTCTTTTCGCGCGCTTTCTTGCTACATCAGCACCTAATCCACCCGGCTCTTGGACCCGTGTGGCTTTTCCACCCACACGAGTGGATGAAGGGACAATTTGAACGTATCCCCTAGGAGCTTGTAGGAGCACTCGGAAGGAATCTGAACGGGGTCTTTGGGTGTCTGGGTGTACCTGGATGGGGAATCGGAACGCAGCCATGCAGAAGTCTGTACTCTGGCCCTATGAATGGCCGCGTTCAGTAGAACAAAGTGATCAGAGAGCGCTTAGTGATTATTGTCTGTGATTAGAGCATTTTTTTAGATTCTTCATAGACCTAGAAGTATTTACCAATCAGGAGCGAGATTCAGTGGAAAATCTAGTAATGTTGTCCAACTGTTGAGTCTGCTGAATGCAACCAATGGCTCAAGTTGGACAACATTATTAGATTTTCCACTGAATCTCGCTCCTGATTGGTAAATACTTCTAAGTCTATGAAGAATCTAAAAGAATGCTCCAATCACAGATAATAATCACTAAGCGCTCTCTGATCACTTTGTTCTACTGAACGCGGCCTATGAGACGCTGATTGGTTACTGCGATATTCCCTAATCAATTTCCGCCGCGCGGCAGAGTGGTCGCGTCCTGTGTGCAATCGGCTTACCCCATTCTGTGTGCAACCGGCTTATCATTCTGTGTGCAACCGGCCAGCGGCCACAGTTCATAAGTGACGCGTATGGTGATAACGAGGCGTCGTGAACGTGATCTCATTTAACCTAAATTATTGAGCACGTAACATGTGCATAAGATACAGTTAGTACAATTCGTGGTAACTTTTTTTTTACAAATTTTTGTATTACGTCTATCAATGTAATTTATTTGAAACCATACAGTATTCGTACAGCAACCTCATATAGAATTTTCTAGTATTTGTGAATACTCAACAACCATGAAGAATCAACATGCAGAGAACACGCCAGCAAAAATACAGGTATTTCATTAAACATCGATTGTTTTACGAACATTTCGATATACTCAATTATCTCGAGCACTATTTTTAGTGAGAATATTAAGTTAAAGTGGAATAAACTGAAATGAAAGCATTCAAATAATCACACTATTGAATGATAGGTTAACTCTATTTTTATTTCTTAGCGAATTAAAATTCTTGATACTTATTCCTTATTTTATTACAGGATCTGAGAAGTTTTGAGTTCTTGAATCGGATCAAGAAGACCTTATATTACCCTGCAGTACCTGTGAATAATTACTTGTCTTTGTCAGTTATAGGTTAGTATATATAGATATTAATCGATTTTAATTATCTTCCAAAGAAAACATCTTCGAAGCTATAAATAAAGTAATGTACTGATAACTTGTCTGAAATCTACTCAGATTTCATTGGCCTTTTTTCTTTCATTTTTTTTATGATTTTGAATTTCTAAAGAATAACTTGGTTTTAATAGTTTTATCAAATATAAAAGTCACTTAATCTGTATATTAAAAGTATCAAAACTGTGGCATACAAAAACAACATAAGCAATAAAAATTGAAAAATCATAGTCGATTATTATTAAATTGTAAGTAGAATAATTGATTGAGGTTGGTCAATATGCTCATTGCTTAAATTGTGTGCATATTTGTTTGCGAAATTGTTTAAACATGTTTTTAATGAAGTTAATAGCACATCTTATTGTGCCAATGTTTTAGGCTTTAATGGTACAAAGAAATCTTTGAGTTGGTTTTTAAAGTTGTTTGTTGCATCCATTTTGGATTTTGGATTTGTTTCCAATGTTTTGTGAACATTTTGCTTCAGTTCTTTTTCTAAAGAAAGAAGAATACTTAAAAATCCAAAGTTTCTGGAATGTTCATGAAATATCGGAAATACAAATCCAAGATGGATACGGCACAAACCCAGAAATCAAATTAAGTATATTTTATTGTATTAATGTTTCTTTAAATAAAATATATTTAACCAACTATTAAATGTTAAAAAATAATAGGATAATAGTGATTTAATATTTTCTCATGTTTTCAGAAAGGACATCAGAGTTCTTCACAGAATCAAGTAATCATCAATTAGAAAAACTTGATGTGGAAGTAGCAAGTAGGATATCTAATGCGATATGTGCTTCCCCATGTGCACTTGTGCTGGCTATGCTGTACATTCAAAGACTGAAAAACTGTAATTCTAAATATCTTCAGGAAGTAGCACCATTAGAGCTATTTTTGATATCCTTGGTAATTATTTTTATTATTGCTGTTTATTTTTGAAATTAAAATTTTTTGAAGTTGGAGTTAAACTTATAAAATATCGCTAACTTTATAATCTATATCTTACTTATAATTTATATGTACAAAGTGGTCTCAAGCATTCTGGCTAAACTTTGAGATTAATATTGAAATTAATATTAACATATGAAATTTAATTCTGAACAATTTTTTATAAACACTATTTATCAAAAAATACTTTCTTAAAAACTTAGTCATTTTTAAGTAATATGAGTATGAGTAATGTCCAACTATGTAATAATTGCACAGAACTCCATACGATCTAGTATGAAGAGGTTGTAATTCTTTATTTTATTATTGGAATAGTTTCTGTTCTGTACAGTCTCGGGAGCTGTATAGTATAAGTGGCCAGCAGGTAGTTAGAGCATGGCAAGTGGCTGGGCCATGTAGCTGGATGTTACCCATACTCATGTTATTTAGGACTAGCTAACTTTTTGAGAAAGAATTTTTCAATATATTATGTTTACAGGAAGTATTATATTTGGAATTAAATTTCTTATAAAATTTCAAAGTCTGGCCAGAACGTTTGAGGTTATCCTGTATATATCACATTTATTTTAAAAAATATTTTATTGATAATTCTTAGATGGTGGCTAGTAAATATCTACATGATGACGGTTCGGAAGACGAAGTCGTGGACGCAGCATGGGCAATTGCAGGAAGGATAACTTTATCTAGAACAATTCAACTAGAAATGGACTTTCTTAAAGCAGTCGTAAGTGATACTTGATACAATTTTTATTTATAGCTTTTGACATTATTTATTTATTTATTCAACGATACTATAACAGTAATATTAACGAAGCTAATACTTGAGTAAGCGAAAATAAGTATTTCTATAATTATATATTAAATTCACTGGAATATAATCATATTGACATTATATTATTGAAAATTATTATTTATAATCAATACTGATTATGTTGACTTAATTACCATACATTAGCTCATTATTATTATTTGCGAAAGATGTTCTATTAATTTTCAAATTATTTATAGAATTGGATGGTGTCTATACGGGAAGAAACATTTTGGGAAAGACTACGACAACTGGAGAAAGAAGTAGCTTATCGGGAAGTGCAGAAGCGAAGTTGGTGTTCATATACAGAGTTGTATTATCTCATGGATTCCAGGCAGCTGATCACAATTGCGAGCTCCGTTACATTAGTCTGCTGTACCTGTCTGATGGCCTATATAGTTTGTGTTATGATCATGTTCGGAAGCACTTTCGTCCTTCAAATAGTCACTTTATACGGAATTTGGTTTATCCAGATGTGGCAGATCGTGAGCCTAAACGAAACAAACATTATGTCATGTGGAAATAGTTTGTCGAACGCACTCATTAATGCGCCTTATACGTTGAGCGATGAGCATGCTTGTTCCTTCGACGACTACGAAGATGCGAACGATATTGTTGCAAAAATTCAAAATGAAAGCGAATATTTTGTCGATGACACTAACAACAACGATAACAGCAATGCCAGTTGGCAATGGTGGTTGAACTCGACGATGACTTGGTTGATAGAGTATTCCGACTCAAAGAACCTCACAAATCAGGTCACCAAGTTTGATGATACTAGGTCAATTTCCAATGGCGCAAGATTTTTGCTCCATACGACGCAAAACAACAGGATAAGATATATGGAGAATTTTATGTTGTATTGCAAGAAAGTGCTGTATTCTATTCTGAATCGGCTGACGACACATTGGATAGGATTAAACAATTTACGTCACAGAATTTTCTCGCAATCGGTTAATAGTATTGATCTTCTAGTTCAAAGTCGGCGGTTCGACCGTTAGACAAAGCCTTTCGGGGAAAAGATTTAGGTACGGATACGTATACGTGTGCGCGTGCCCGTGGTAAACCTATAATGTATAAATATATATATTTTTATACCGACTTTTTATGCAACATTCGATGCCAATAGACGCGTTTTTTCATTATTTATCTTGTATCGAATATTTATAATATATATATTTATAACAACGTTGTTATTAGTTTATGTCAAACCAGATTTCCCCTAATTGTTGAAAAAACTGGCTATTAATAATCATAATTATTACATAAACTCTGTTCAATACATTCTATACATTTATACATTAAATACATTCACGTAATTGAAGTAAGTCATGTTATTGCAACAGTTAAAAATGAAAAATCCAGAGGACTTTGTAATAAAGCGCTTATTGCAGGTGCAGGACGGTTGCGGTCCTCTTACGTGTGAATTGATTAATCATCGTTTCCTAGTTCTTGAATGTAACGTCCACTACCCTTCTCTCTTTTTTAGACAATTCAGCTACCATTACGAAAAAGCGCGGCTATCGGTATAGGCGTCATACCAAGGAGACATCCGATTGTAACTCCAATGACTCGACCCTGTACATTAAATAGAAAAAATTAATATGACTCTGTTAATATTATTATGTACAACTTCCGTAAATATATTAAATTCGATGCAGTACAAATTCAATATACAAATTTATTGAATATTATTTATTAAAAGTATTTATTAAGTTAAATTATTGAATGTTGAAAATTAAATACTTTCGACTTTCTCCTATCCTAAAATAATCCAGAAGTCAGTAATAACTGGATGGACAAAGGGAGGGGGACATCAGATTGCGGCCTGATCTCATTGACCCCATTGCCCCTCAGGGAGCTAGGAAAAAGGGTGAGTGTCTTCTCTCTCCCCAATAATAACAATTACAAACTCGTGGCTAACTTAGCCGGGCACGCCACCTCCCAGACTGGGGAGGCAAGGAGGGAGAGTGCAACGACAAGTTTCTTCCCGTCTCCTCCCCAACATGTCCTGATGATAGACATCCTGAGTGGGGTTTTAGTCGGTAGGAGTCCGGCATAACCTCTACCTTCCCCCAAGGGGCAGAGGTATCCATGATGGATTTCCCCCTCGTGAATAAAAAAAAGTCAGTAATAATTCGCAAGATACGATGACTCAACAAAATTGCAAGGAAACTTTTTAGTAAAGAATTAAATATCGCGACTCCTACAGCCCTGATTATTTCCAGAAATTTTTAGTCATTTGTTTTTCAAATTATTTAGCGATAATTTGATACAAAATACGATGATACAATCGTACCACATTTGCGGCAACCCGCGTTCTGGGTAGACTCAATTGCGCTGGTGTTAACTTCGGCGCTTCGAAGCCGACTTTTTGGGCGAACACTTCAACATAATGCACCGACCCAATTCCGATGACATCGGACACTGTGTTACCTAACGCGGCCGCTGCCATGGTTGAGATCGGAAATTTCATGTTCAACATCATCTCGATTTGATCGCCCTGAAAAATCGAGCAATTTTAGAAGTCGACACACAGTACAATGAGAGTTCGTAAAATACATACCGCAACAATCATGATAAAGTTGTCGAGGAAACCGAATCCGACGAATGGAATTGCGTTCGCGATCGCAACTGCAAAAATATTATATGCGAGATTATTCGTTCGTATGTTTATTTTCGCCGGTAGTCTGTAAAACATAAATTGTGTAATGATTGTGATATGAATTTCGTGAACAGGTTTTATTGAAATAAAATTAAATAAAGTTTGTCTACGAGTGAATAACGTGTACAGTGTAATATGAGTGAATGAAAAATTTTTCATGGGATATTTGCATTCGAAATTTAACTTTTCTCGATTACTGTGTTGGTAAACAAATATATAATTAGTTTCACTACCGCATGTGTATGAAGATTTATAAAAAAAAATAAAAAAAAACTATGATACAAGCGTATTGCCGTAACATCTATATAACATACATTTTAGCTGTATTGTTTAATGGAAAAATTAACGCATACCTAGCATCAGTTCTTTCGTGGATGGTTCTGCAACGTTTTCAACTGCAACGGGAAAAAGTTCAACATATATTTATAAGTTAACTGTCCAGCCAGATATTATATACATAATTGTTTGACAAAATTAGCAAGCACTAAAATGCTCTACAAGGCCTATTCTTCATATAATTTAACCTATTACATGCAAACATTGTATACCTGGAAAGATGAAAATTGCAATAGAGTAACATATTCTTTTGCAAATTTAATTTCTAATTTGATATTTTATCTTTCAAGATATACATAGTTTGCTCATGTGTATAAAATATAGAAGAGAATTCTTTCATTTTATCTTAAAATTGACTCTCCATGTGAGAACTAAATCACTGAATAATTAATTCTACTAATTTAAAGCTTGAAAGAAATTCAGCTCAAAGTGCGAAGATTCTGGAACATTTCCTTTAACTGAAGGAAATTGTGCTTCCAGATGATATAATAGTATCAAGATTAATACTTGTTAGTACATGGAGGGACTGACTATAGGATATAAGATGACATTCGCCCTAATATTTGAAATAAGCTTCAGTAAGCTTCATACTTCATAGAAGATATTTCATAAATAGTTTAAGATTTTGTAGTTTGACAAAAATATTACAGATATCATATTAAAAATGTCAATTAGGAACATTATATATTAGAGACATAAGCATATGTATCCGGTGGTTTATTATCAATTTTGATTAAAACCTATATTCTAAAACTATATTTTATAATATAGCTGTAAAACAACTTATATACTTGAAGATCAGAAAGTCAGGATATAACAAGAAAAATGAGATGAGAAAAGTTATAATTTAATCATCTATTTGCTTCAGTTTAAAATTAAAACAAATTCCCACAATAAAGCTTTATAAGTAGAAGGAGAATTCTAAAAAAGTATCGAAAGTATTACCCAACTGCAGCACTGTGGATGACTGTAAAACATCCGAAAAGTTGAATCAGAATAGAAGATGAGAGGATTAGTGTAATTAAAACAGACAGAGAAAGAGAGAAAGGGAGATAAAGAGAGAATAAGAGAATGAGGTAAGTTTAACTTACAGAATAACATCCATGGAGATCGCATTGCAGGAAAAAGATTCCATTATATCCAAAGATACCATTAAATAACAGTCGAGGATGTTAATTTTATTTTGCGAGATCTACAGGTAATAAGTCTAAGTTAATGCTTATGACACTTTCGCGAATGTAACAAAACTCTACATCCTATCAAAGACTTTTCTTTCTCAGATAGAACTGCATATTTTTGTTTCAGTAGTCTCTGCTCCAGCTAATAAAAGTTAAGATGTATATAGTTTGAATAAACAGTAAACATTGCATCCTTACCATACTTGCGACTCAACCAATCGTCTGGCACAGGACAGTAAGTTCCTGTAGGATCTACCTCACCCAGGGATGGAATTTTACTAGGCCTACCAAGTTTGCTTCTCCATCGGAAAGCCGCCAGTTGACCTTACAGGAATGTAGTTTTATTATAATATATTATTCGTAGTTTTAATAGAATGAAATCATAATCTATTTACCTTTATAGCCAGCTTTATCCTCCTCAGATTTGGATTCATTTAACGCTGCCAAGAAAATTGCACGCTCCTCGGAGTTGAGTTTTGATATAAATTCATTTGCTCGTTGTTTTGTCAAAGCTTCGGAGTTATCTTTGAATGAGATTGGAATCTTCGTGGTAGAGAATGTCCTACAGCTTTCGGAGGGAGTGCTCAAGATCCGCGAAATGTCAGTGATGCACGATGACATGAGACATCGACGTGACAGAATGACATTCGTTAATAACATTTTGCTACGATTAAGATAATGCGGTTGCTTGCTGCAAAATCGCACAATATCCTTCGAAATGAGCCCTCGTTGACTGAACGTTGTTACGAATATGCACATCTTGAATCGGAAAAACTTGAGGCTATTAATAACGAACGGAGAATAATTCATCGATTGTTGGCGGAGTCTTGCGCGTTCGGAATTATTTCGTGGCTAAAAATATTATCCGGCAGAATCCAATGAGTGAGAAGAAATATCTACGAATCGTATCATCGATAAGATAGGTCGTCAAAGATTCACAAGGAACGATAAGTTATAACAGAGACAAACCTGAGAGCGGCCACCGGGCCGATTACGTTAGGACGCTTTTTCCGCTGAATTCCGTTGCGCCCCCCTGAGAAAATGTGTGCACACTACATCCGTCCTGACGGTAACGACGAAGCGTGCACGGTTTTTGCTCACTTTACTTCCTTAGGCCCAGTTCCACAACTTGCTTTAAACGGAGTTTAAAGCAAGTTGTGGAACTGGGCCTAAGGGGATCCTGGAGTCGTCTGTTTTACTGACATATTGATTCAATCTTCTCAAACACTATTCTTTTTATTAGCTGGACAGATTGGAAAATCCTTTTGTACAACGAAAGTACTTATAATAACGAAGTCCGGAAGATAAAGTTTTATGTAAAATTTAATGAAAAATTACAAAATTACAGTTTCTTTACCATGTTTTGTGTCAGCTTGTAACTTTACTTATTAATTGTAAAAGTTCTGCAGTTTATCCGTGCAAAAGCTTTTGCTTCCGGACTAGCCATAATATGAAAGAATAATACTGAAGTAACAGAAATGAGCTTAGAAGTCAGTGTAAAAAGAATAGTGTTTGAGAAAAATGTAATGCATACGGAATTGTGTTTGCTACAATTTTGGATAAAACAGAACAGTAGATTATGCTCCGCATAATCACAATCGATGGAGCTGCAGGCAGACACAATCTAGAGAGCCTCTGATTATCGCCAACTGCAAGTGCAGTTTCTCAGGAGAGAATAGGAGCTTGTGATTGAGTTAATTTCATAAGCTATATAGGATTCTTGTGGTTTCCCTTACTGGGTTTTGCTGGTTTGAAGTACATAGTTGTCTTTAAACTGTGACTTGTGCGTAAATAGCTCATAAGTCTGAGTATAGACTCTAACTTCGATAGGACCATTGGGTCCTCGGAACGGGACGCCAATGAGGCCTTTAGAACAAAAGAGATAGTTTCTGAATTGGATTTTGAGAATTTTGCCAATAAATTCTTAGAATTAAGCAACATGAGAAAGAACGATAAGAAGAAGAAGATTAGTAACACCATTGGAAACAACGACATGGATTGTTCTCCGTACTCAGCAGAATCCAACACTGGCGTAGGATCTTGCTCTCTCAAGGGGCAAGTAGAGAAAAAAAAGAGAAAGAATACTTCAGATGATAACGATTCTCCGTTTAAAGTCACGAAACCAACAGGTGTCAATAAGGACAGATTATTGAACTCTTCAACAACCAAATTCTTCTATGATTTTGCTAGTCGAGCTCCTTTTTTGTCCTAATAAGGAGAATTCAAGCTCAGAATAATCCCCGTGACGATCAAGGGACATCTTTTCTAGAAATATCTAGGTTGTTATACAAATCCAACGTTAAATATAAGGTTTGTGATTATCAGAGTAAGAACCTCTAGAAACTTTTATTTGATTCTCGTACGGATGCAAACAATTCGCTGAATAACCCTGTGTTGCGCTCACTCTCGCACTCGCGCTTGCGCGAGTCATGTTGCTTTCTCATGTTGCTTAATTCTAAGAATTTATTGGCAAAATTCTCAAAATCCAATTCAGAAACTATCTCTTTTGTTCTAAAGGCCTCATTGGCGTCCCGTTCCGAGGACCCAATGGTCCTATCGAAGTTAGAGTCTATACTCAGACTTATGAGCTATTTACGCACAAGTCACAGTTTAAAGACAACTATCAGGTAAATGAAAACACTCGTGTAAGAATAACAAGCTTTACTATATATAGCGCAGCTCACTCAAGCTTCAAACAAGAATAATTCTCTGATCTACAATTCTCGCGTCTGTCTACGATGACAGCTGGTCAGAGACTCCCTGTCAGCTGCTGTTTACTTCTTATCGATTTTCCGTCGTCCAGACAATCTTTGTTCAGTTGTCAAAATCAGATGCCTAAGGCTCACGGACAACGGACGCCGCCACAAACCTTGTGGCTCGAACACAACAATATTTACGGAGTTATCGCACATAGTCGAGAGCGTCGGGGCCCGCATACCGTAAACTGGCGAGTCAAGTAGCCGGAGCGCTTGGGGTAGAGCAACTTTTCTTTCATAATACCTTTGTATAATTCACAATACCTTTGTATATGCTAATAAAAGTTTTAACGCGACAGTTTGGCGATTAGCTCCAAAGCACCTGCATTCTGGACTAAAAATAATTGAAATCTCAGCCTACATTGCTGCTGGGATATTTAATGAAGGCTATGCCTCCATTCTCAGAGTTATGAACAAATTAAATATAATTGTTGGCACCTACTCCAAAGTTTTCGCTGAAAACACCGATGAGGCGCGAGTAGCGAGACAGAACCAGATGAGTCTTTTTGAGGCAAAAGCAGCTCGTACAGCCCGAAAACAGCAGCAGATCGAAGATAACCAGCTTTTCGAGGAAGCTGAAGGCTTATTATATGCGCCTGGAATCGCTGATTGATCGGTAAGTCACTAAAACTAATAATTTTATCGTATTGGAACTTTAAACGCGATTATCTCGAAACTGCATTTTCAAAAACTGCTCGTGCTGTAGCTCAGAAAGTTATTGATCGATTTGGCTGAAATTTTGGGAGGTTTCTGTCTATATTATTATCGGAAGGATGTACTTAAAGTTTTAAAGATATTGCGTAAATAAATTACTTTTTTGGGGTAAAAATCGTCGAAAAAATTGTCGAAAATTTGAACATTTGATTAAACAGCCTACTTAATTTTTAATTTTATACTTTTTTATATTTTTATAGGTTTATCCTTCCCCTGCACATGTCAGTAATCGAACAAAAATTTTTTGTTTCAGATCAATAGAAAAAATATGACAAATGCAGCACTTTTCGATGCCACGCAAAAGACACCTAAAGGAATACCCTAAGAAGCCGCCATTTTGTTTTATAAAAAAAAAATAAATATGTTTTCTATACTTCAAAGCCGTAATAAAATGATGTCAAAATTTAAAAATGATGCGATTATTTTATCACCTTCAAAAAAATTAATAAAAAATTACTCATTTTCGAGTGTCTAAAGGGTTTTCTCCCCTTAAGTGGCCTTATCTAGAAACTAAAATTATTAGAATCTATATTATATAGTTATAAGCATCGAATTTTCATGTATTTTTTACTTAATTTTTTTATGAGATGCTTAATAATACTGACTTGTTTTTTGTTTTTTTGAGGATAGAATATTATTCATCATAGGTATATTTTCACTATTCTCTATTTAATTTGCTACAGTATTCACATCATCTTTAAATTCAAATATTTCTTCCTCATTTTCTTCTAGAATTATATCACAATGCATGTTATTACTTTTATAAATGAGTAATAAATAAATTTAACAAAAAGATTATTCATACCTTGAACAATATTACTTGAATCTATATCAGTATTTTCATTAGCTTGGGCTGATGGCCTTCCGCCAAGTAGTTGTTCCATTTCATCATAAAAAAGAAACGTTTGACGAGCAGCACCACTTATGTTATTATTCCTTTTACACTTAAAATATATTTCTTTTAGATGTTTTAATTTTATTTTCATTTGAGCACCACGTTTTATAAAACCTATCTCCTTCATCGAAGACTCTAATGAGTTATAGATATCTATGTGCTTAAAGCGTTTTCCATTCATTATTTGCATTATCCTCTTTTCAATACAAATAGCAATAAAAGTTCTTGTTTCCTCTTCAGTCCAATTAGAGCCTTTACGTTTCTTTTCACAGTTATTGAATAAAATATTTTTGAAGTTAATTTATACCTTGAAGTTCTATTTATATTACTTTCATTAGCAAAGACATTATTACTTACGAACTTTCATCTTGTTGAGAACCGCTGCTGCATGACATTTTGGCCCATATTCAGAACACGCTTGTAACTATGTTAGCGCGCTGTTAACCAATGAAAAGCCACGCAATATGCCTTCAGTGGTGCGATTCTGTAACTCGTTATTGGAGTTAACGACAGTTTCGTTATCGTTGCGCAGCTTTTGTATACCGTATAAAAGCTGCGCAACAATAACGAAACTGTCGTTAACTCCAATAACGAGTTACAGAATCGCTATTTTTTTTTTTTTTTTACGATAAAAAAAAAAAAAAAAAATACAGAATCGCGGTACTGATTAGTTAACAGCGCACTAACAAGTTATAAGCATGTTCTGAATATGGGTCTTTATGTATTTGTTTTTCTTTATGCATAAACAAATCTTTACACACCAATATCAACTTTTATGCTCGAACGCACTTTAGGTCGAGTTCTTAGATCGCGTTGCGTGTTTATACCGAAAAAGCAGACGTCCTATTTTAGGTCAGGTCACTAAAATTCGAGACCTGACTTAAAGCTAGGTGAGGTTATCTATCAAGGCTGCGTTCCGATATTCACTGCCAGTATTGAATATATATACTTTATGTCACATATATTATAGATTTTCAGTACTGGTGCAGCAGTGAATATCGGAACGCAGCCCAAGTATTTACAGCAGACGGCCTAAATAATTTAGGTATATCGAATTTGGGGTATAGGCCGCGGCCTAAAGCCAGCAGCACACGGTGCTTGTTTTCGTGCTGGATTGCTTGCTGGATGAAAATACTGCGTTCTGATTGGTACATTTCCGAAGATGGATGGAAATGCACCAATCAGAAATCAGTATTTTCATCCAGCAAGCAATTCAGCACGAAAACAAGCATCGTGTGCCGCTGGCTTAAGTATACGGTGTAAATGGCTGCGTTCAGAAAACACAACGGTTACACAACGGTTGAGTAATTCGTCAACGTTATTGGTCTGAATCTGAATGTAAAGATCTAACAATAAGGACTAATAGTTACTAAGCGCTCAGTGAACGCTTTGTTTTCTAAACGCAACCAATGGGTGTAAACGTGGCTAATGTAAAGGTCATTCTACAATACGTGTCGTAAGTTGTAAGCCGGAAGAACTGACCAGAGAGAAACCTGAGAGCGGCCATTAGCGAAGGTTCAGAAATTTTTCGACGCGCCCCCTGAGAAAATAGACGTTAACTACGTCGACACGCCCCCTGAGAAAATAGCCGTCAACTACGTCAATGTCGTTCGGTAACGAGGTTTGTCTGTAATAGTTTGGTTCATCTGAGCTACTACACAGAATATAGTAAAAATTATATATATCATCAGGAGGAATCATCCCAGCAAACACAATATTACATATAATGTGCATGTTAGTTGTAATTTCCTATTCAACAATATAACTGTTATATAACACAAATGTTATATAATAGTTATGAACTAAGATCTTTATCAGTTTTCTTTTAGTATGTATAACAGTCAAGATATGATGAGCAAAATAATTATTCGATAGAATTGTAAATAAGATTATCGAATTTGAAATACCGTATACAAAAAAGTCATTTTCACAACCATAAATAATACTTTTAAGGAAATGTTATAAATAACAATATATAAGAAAAATAATATAAAAAACTAATCCACGTTACATGTAATATTGTGTTTGCTGGAATATTTCACGCACTGCGCTTCGCGTAATTAGGAAAGGAAATTATTTAGGATAAGAAATAAATATAAGAAATATATTATATTTTCAATTTTTTATTTTCTTTTATAAGAAATAAATATAAGAAATATATTATATTTTCAATTTTTTATTTTCTTTTATGTGTGTATGTGTGTGTGTGTGTGTATGGTGCGTGCGTGCGTGTGTATATATTTGTTATTGCGTCATATAAATATTTATATAGGGCATTCCTCTGCCTCTTCTTCTCCATTCTCCTCTTCCTCTTCCTCTTTCTCTCCATTCTCCTCTCCCTCTTCCTCTCCTTGTCCTTCTTCCTCTTCCTCTCCCTGTCCCTCTTCCTCTTCCTCTCCCTGTCCTTCTTCCTCTTCCTCTTCCTCTTCCTCTTCCTAGTGCAGCTACCACCGCTGCTTCAATAATATTTTGTAATGCTGCAGTCTGTAACAATAAGACAATATTAAAATATAAAATAAAGAGTTAAATAAGAAGTTACAATTTAACATAATGTACTCAGTAAACATACATGTCTAAAAGACGTCTAAAAGCTTTTTTTAAGACAATTTTTAGACTTGTATGTGTAAAAAACGTCTTAAATAAATCTTTTACACATCTTTTAGACAAGTATGTTTACTGGATATTGATTAGCGTCTAGGCTCAGTTCCACAACTTCTAGTTAACTTAACCAGCTGGTTATTTCACTAGACTTGACCAATTGCATTTGACGTTAAGAATTAATCAGAATTAAACAATTACTATTGGCATTTAATCAGTAGTTAAAGTTATACAGAGGTTGTGGAACTGGGCTTTAGACATATACCAGGTATGTCGGTAATTACTTTCCGGTTTTTGTAACAGATGTCACTAGCCATAAGTATGCAATGTTATGATTTGATACATATGTCATTTTATTCTACTGACATTAACCTCAAAACTACACAAGTTACGTTCCGCCAAAATAATAGCGTTATAGATTAATAACTTTTTGAAAATGTCGAGTTTTGTGCCTGAAAACGTGCATTTGCGGCATGCATTACTTTTCTTGTTTAATCAAAGGAAAAAAGCCGCTGAAAGTCATCGTTTGCTGGTAGAGACTTACGGTGAGCATGCTCCAACCATAAGAACATGTGAAACGTGGTTTCGACAATTCAAATGTGGTGATTTCAACGTTCAAGACAAAAAACGTCCTGGTAGGCCGAAAACGTTTGAAGATGCGGAATTGCAGGAGTTATTGGAAGACCCAACACAAACTCAAAAACAATTGGCAGAAAAGTTGAATGTGAGCCGAGTAGCAATTTGTGAACGATTACAAGCGATGGGAAAGATCCAAAAGATGGAAGATGGGTGCCACATGAATTGAATGACAGGCAATTGGAAAATCGAAAAATCGTCAGTGAAATGCTGCTTCAAAGGTATGAAAGGAAGTCATTTCTGCATCGAATAGTAACGGGTGATGAAAAATGGATTTATTTCGAAAATCCCAAGCGAAAAAAATCATGGTTATCACCTGGCGAAGGTGGCCCATCGACTGTAAGGCCAAATCGCTTTGGTCGCAAGACCATGCTCTGTGTCTGGTGGGACCAGGTTGGTGTCGTATATTATGAACTGTTGAAACCTGGAGAAACAGTTAATACTGATCGCTACCAACAACAAATGATCAATTTGAACTGTGCATTGATCGAAAAACGTCCACAATATGCTCAAAGACATGACAAGGTGATTTTGCAGCATGACAACGCGCCGTCTCATACAGCAAAACCAGTCAAAGAAGTGTTGAAATCACTTGAATGGGAAATTTTATCGCACCCGCCGTACTCTCCAGACCTGGCTCCATCCGACTACCACCTTTTCGCATCGATGGGGCACGCGCTTGCAGAGCAGTACTTCGCCGATTTCGAACAAGTTAAAAAATGGTTCGATGAATGTTTAGCTCAAAGAAACAGTTCTTTTGGAATGGCATCCATAAATTGCCTGAGAGATGGGCAAAATGTATAGAATCAAATGGCCAATACTTTGAATAAATAAATTTTAACTATCCATTGTAAATAACGTGTTTTCTTTAGCGAAAAAACCGGAAAGGAATTACCGACACTGGTATATGTAGGCAGTCTGGAAAGTTCTCGACCTGACACATACATAGCATTAGAAACTGTCAAACTATAATTGTATTGGAAAGTGGCATCCCTGATATAGACCCATGTAAAATTTTATTCGACCTGTTAAGTCATTCGAGTAGTAGCAGCAGTTGAAAAAGCTTCGTGCAAGATGGGTGCCGCATTTGCTAACAATTGACCAAAAATACATTCGAATGCATATTTCTCAAGCGTGTTTGGCACGTTTTAAGCAAAATAAAATGGATTTCAAGCGTCGTTTTATAACTGTTGATGAAACTTGAATTCATCACTATACACCAGAGCGAAAAGAACCTTCCGGAATCA